GCTTTCCTATGGACGCTTGCGTGCTCTCACCGTGAAAATCACAGTGAGAAGCACGCAAGCGCCTCTAGTGGCTGTCAATGAGACAGCCACTAGAGGATTAGGGGGAAGGCTTAACCCATTCATAAACATAGCAGTTTCTCTGAAACTGCTATGTTTATAAAAAATGGGTTAACCCTAGAAGGACCTGGCACCCAGACCACTTCATTAAGCTGAAGTGGTCTGGGTGCCTAGAGTGGTCCTTTAATTTGTCAATTCATGTGATTCTAATAGAGAAGCTTTATGGACAACAAACTATTTGTAATCTAGAAAAATAGATATTGGTGAAAAAATTCTATAACCTTAAAAAGCAGATCTCATACAGATTATATTAAATTACGGATTCCGTTTTGCTTACAGTGGCTCTGGGACTCTCCGCTATGGAGGTTTGGCTAGGGTTGCAGAAATAGTAGTTCAGAACTACTAAATGTAAGATAATTGGTCCGGGACCTGATATGTGCATCAAAACCATTTCATTAAGATAAAGTGGGTTTGGATCTTTCGCCAAACTTATCAATAGAAAACATCATTCTTGGCTTTGGAGATTTGTCTTGATTCTGAAAATCTGTTTGATAACCCATGTTGGGCTGGAATAAATTGGGCAGGATTTTATCATTCGTGCTCACGGAAATGAGAAGCAGCCTTCATGAAAAATATTTTATCCATGGTCCTCCTGGTAGGAAGAGACTAGCAACATAGAGTAGATACTACTTTTATTTCAAATTCAAAAAGGAGTAAAAAAAATCCACTCCCGTGCAATATCCATCTAAAGCTGTTAAATTTCTAGGAGAAAACTCTTGCTATAGAGGAGCTATAGGTGGTTGATATTTGTTTTACACAAATATCAAAGCCCTTATTACCGGTTTTCAGGGTACCGAACATCACCACACCTTAAGTATTCACCACGAGAAAGTCATGTCATTAGATTAAAAAAATTATGGGTGCTCTCTTCTTGTTACATCCCTGTCAACTGTGTATCACATGTGTGATGTATTTAAGTCTTTAATTTATTTGGAAAAGGTTTTATTTAAATGTATGAAATCCAGATGTAATAGGTCAATAATTGTCTAGCTTACTTGCATGTAAAATTGTAGGAATACATATACATCCAGCATAAACTAGGTAACTGATAACTTTATTAAAGTGAATCTGTTACATCTCTGAAAGTTAACATTCCTAATTTCTTTGAGCCGTAAACTCTATTGAGATGACTAGGGCGGATAATGCATAGAAGGTGTTTAAAACACACTTTAAAAAAAAAAAAAAAAAAAGCCTTTTTTTTTTATAGTACTTTTAATACCCAGGGTGATGTAATTTCACCATGATGCTCCAGGAGTGCTCATACATGTTTTTACATATGTGGAAGAGTGCTGCAAGAACACAGGCAGGCTTGAGAATTCCTTCCATTGTGCTATATAGGCACTGTTGGGTTTAAATTGGTTTGCATGGTATGTTCTTGCTGTGCTACACAGGCATTTAAAGTAATTTTTTTCTTTTTTTTTTTTAAAGGGAAAAAGCTACCTATCACAATTCTGACTGGTGACCGGTCATTTATTTTTAGAACGCCAACAAATTCCACAGCGCTGTTCAATAAGGTGGATTAACAAACAAGTAGTTACAACTAAACACATTGTGCATGCAGGGACCGAAGGTGCTGAGGGCCCTGCTCAAACAAGCTTACATTCTAAAACTTCTATTCAAGTTAAGAGAATATGCTATATATTTATACTTAGAGCTGAGATAATTTGAATGCAGGTTCTTCTCAATCAAGTGTACTACTTTAGCAAAATAATTTAAACCTTGCCTAGAGAGAAAACCTTCTAAAGGTACACTGTAATCTGGACTGCACATCAAACGACTAAGCAATTGCTCACCTGCATGTAAATATGTTTTTATACTCTTACACAACGGTGTGCACTACATTGTTTGATCTTCTCTTTTCATTTCTAAGTGTAGAGAACCTGCACCGACTATACATCCTAGAGTAGGGTTGATACCACTCCTTGCAATACCTTAGGAGCAATTGAAGGGCTCCAAAAATGTGAGTGTATATCTACTTACGGAATACCTCATTGCAGACATACTGCACTATATTATTTCACCTCGTTCTTCTTTTATGTCTGAGACCTTCCTCCATAACCCATAAGGATTAACCATTTGCAAAGATTCACTATATCCACAAGCGGGAATCATACCGCTCAGGTGCATAAATTAGGGCTACATCCAGAAAAGTATAAGCGTACCTCCTCCCCTTTCCTCTGTTTTACCATTGTAAAAAGTATGGTTATTTTCTTATGTTAAAAAAACATAAATAAATTCTACAAAAAGCAAAAAATAAATGTAAGTACTGTCCCGTTTGTCAGATGTTCAGGCTGAATTCTGTTGATATGGAGACTAGAGCAGCAGTTTAATTGTTTACGATTATCTCTATGAATCACATATGAATAACTATCGCTTCCTCTAATATCTTCTGCTGGATTAGTAGCGCTGTCATTCTTAATTCAGCTGATAAAGATTATAATGCAGCTAGTTTTGCAGAGCCTTGTTTCCCGTGGGAGAAGTTTTGCACATGCGCTCCCGTTCAGCAGGATTTAAAGTTTAACACCCGAAATCAAGAAGCAATCGTTGTATCTTAACTAGTTTGAGTTTGTGTTTTTTTTGTTTTGTTTTCCATGTTAGTGAGCACATGGTTATTTCTCAAAGCAGATACTGTTCTCCACAGTCAAGTGACCTACCTATGTTTGTTGTGCTGTAAACTACACCTTTTTATCAAGCAGACAGATAAGGCAAGAGTTTTGCAAACAATATAAAATGGTAGGACATTTTATGATTGCTTTTAATGCATTCATAAGAACATTTTTATTTTTTCTCTTGCAGTTTAGTATGTCACGCTGCTTATTTGGTATGTTAAGAAGTTAAGTACTTGCTGTAAAGGCTGAATCTTTAATGAATAAACATTAATATTAAACACCAAATTGTAGTGAATGGAGTACCAAATTATCCTATTATTTAGGATAAAAATATTTTTGGGAAATTTGAAAAAAAAATCTCCAGTTTGACTGTTTCAGTTACTAGTGATTTTATTTTCAATTAATTACAGCTTGGTGTTTAGTATATTAAACCCCTGATTTTCATTTTATTTTATTTTTTTAATTAACTTTCCATAATACACACTTCCCTGTCGGATGGATATATAAATATATACACTACTCAAAAAAATAAAGGGAACACAAAAATAACATCCTAGATTTGAATGAATTAAACATTTTTCTGAAATACTTTGTTCTTTACATAGTTAAATGTGCTGACAACAAAATCACCCAAATATTAAAAAAATTGAAATCACATTTTTCAACCCATGGAGGTCTGGATTTGGAGTCACACTCAAAATAAAGTGGAAAAACACTACAGGGTGATCCAACTTTGATGTAATGTCCTTAAAACAAGTCAAAATGAGGCTCAGTAGTGTGTGCCCTCCACGTGCCTGTATGACCTCCCTACAACGCCTGTGCCTGCTCCTGATCACGTGGCGGATGGTCTCCTGAGGGATCTCCTCCCAGACCTGGACTAAAGCATCTGCCAATTCCTGGACAGTCTGTGGTGCAATGTGACGTTGGTGGAATGAGCGAGACATGATGTCCCAGATGTGCTCAATTGGATTCAGATCCGGGGAACGGGCGGGCCAGTCCATAGCATCAATGCATTCGTCTTGCAGGAATTGCTGACACACTCCAGCCACATGAGGTCTAGCATTGTCTTGCATTAGGAGGAACCCAGGGCCAACCGCACCAGCATATGGTCTCACAAGGGGTCTGAGGATCTCATCTCGGTACCTAATGGCAGTCTGGCTACCTCTGGCGAGCACATTGAGGGCTGTGCGGCCCCCCAAAGAAATGCCACCCTACACCATTACTGACCCACTGCCAAACCGGCCATGCTGGAGGATGTTACAGGCAGCAGAACGTTCTCCATGGCGTCTCCAGACTCTCACGTCTGTCACATGTGCTCAGTGTGAACTTGCTTTCACCTGTGAAGAGCACAGGGCGCCAGTGGCGAATTTGCCAATCTTGGTGGTCTCTGGCAAATGCCAAACATCCTGCACGGTGTTGGGCTGTAAGCACAACCCCCACCTGTGGACGTCGGGCCCTTATACCACCCTCACGGAGTCTGTTTCTGACTGTTTGAGCAGACACATGCACATTTGTAGCCTGGTGGAGGTCATTTTGCAGGGCTTTGGCAGTGCTCCTCCTGTTCCTCCTTGCACAAAGGCGGAGGTAGCGGTCCTGCTGCTGGATTGTTGCCCTCCTATGGCCTCCTCCACGTCTCCTGATGTACTGGCCTGTCTCCTGGTAGCGCCTCCATGCTCTGGACACTACGCTGACAGACACAGCAAACCTTCTTGCCACAGCTCGCATTGATGTGCCATCCTGGATGAGCTGCACTACCTGAGTCACTTGTGTGTGTTGTAGACTCTGTCTCATGCTACCACTAAAGTGAAAGCACCACCAGCATTCAAAAGTGACCAAAACATCAGCCAGGAAGCATAGGAACTGTGAAGTGGTCTGTGGTCACCACCTTCAGAACCACTCCTTTATTGGGGGTGTCTTGCTAATTGCCTATAATTTCCACCTGTTGTCTATCCCATTTGCACAACAGAATGTGAAATTGATTGTCACTTAGTGTTGCTTCCTAAGTGAACAGTTTGATTTCACAGAAGTGTGATTGACTTGGAGTTACATTGTGTTGTTTTAAGTGTTCCCTTTATTTTTTTGAGGTGTGTGTGTGTGTGTGTGTGTGTTTGTATGTGTATATGTATATATATATATATATATATATATATATATATATATATATATATATATATATATGTGTGTGTGTGTACAATATATACACACACACACACACACACACACACACACACACACACACGCACGCACTCCTGGTCTGAATAACGTATTTTATCAATTTATTGTGCAAAAAAGGAACGACCAACATTTCGACCTATTCAGGTCTTTCTCAAGATCAGATTTTGAGAGAGACCTGAATAGGTCGAAACGTTGGTCGTTCCTTTTTTGCACAATAAATTGATAAAATACATTATTCAGACCAGGAGTGCACCTTTGTTCTATTTTTTCTCTCTATATATCACAGGTTTGCACGCAGGCAGAAGTCTTCTTTTTGTGGCAATATATGGGCAGAGTGCCGAACTTACTACTTTGATATATATATTCTGTTTGAGTTGGTGCTAGTGCTTTGTGCAGGGGTGAAATTAACTGCTCAAATAGCCATGGGAAATTATATCTGTGCTACTTGCTACTACTGGGAGTCACATTCCTGGACAGAAGCCGCTTCAAATGCTTTTTGTGAGTGTAATGCTCACTAATCTCAGACGTTCTTCCTATTCTGATTAGTGGCAATAGTATTGCACAGAGGTAATCAATGTATGGTTACCTGTTAATTACCTGACATCTCCATTCGAGCAGTACAGATTGTGAAGTGATTGGAAGTAGTAAATGAATTTAGAGTTGGGGTGCCCAATCTTGGGCTAATTGTTGTGTAACATCACTTTTGTCACATATTTTGGAAATACTGGATGGCCTATGTTGTATACTCTAGACAAGAGGTCAGCAACCTTTTCCACACAGGGACACCTATCTATATAAAGCTAAAATATTATGATAATGGCTTCACGAATTTGGTATCTTTATGTGGGATTTTTAAATCTAATGATGCCAATCTAGGGAGTTATCTACTAAACAGTGTAAGGATCAAAATTAGGAAAAGCCCTCTTCATATACCAAACTCCCAAATTAGTGATTCTTTGTGGGATTGACCTATTTTAAGATACCAATTTAAGGAGTTAATTACTAAACAGCTGAAAGTTATTTTGTTGTGCAATTTGATTTTCAGATTTGTACAATTCAATGCTTCGTAAATAAAATAAATAAAAAGAGTAGTAGCAATTTTACAATTACAAACACCTTGTAGCACATCCGACATGGAAAAACCAGTACAGCATGTAGTACTGTAAAATATTACAAACAAGAAAAGGCTCAAATATTTCCCACAATGCCATTTATTTCCAGGACATTTTTTTTTGTTCTTGTTGTTCTAATCTGCGTGTGAGGCTTACGATAATGAAAATAAATTCTATTTAATGTTAGAGGAACACTATAGGGTAAGTGACCCAAATGTGTATTCCTGACCATGTAGTGTTAAAAACACATGTAGGGTCCCTGGTCCTCCCTTACATAATGAGAAATGTTATCTTCATTCCAGCTCTGCGTGGGTCAGCTGGCCCTGCCCCTGCCCCTGCCCCTCATCCTTGGCTGACTGAATTTATGATCTCAGCCAATCACAATGCTTTTCCATAGGAAAGCATTGCATTATCTAAGATAATTAATTCTGTTGATCCCAGCCAAGGGCCGGGCCAAACCCTGCCCTAGCCAATCAGTATCTCCTCATAAAGATGCATTTAATCAAGCAATGCTGACCCGGAAATTAGATCTTAACTGTGTTTTGCCTAATTTCAGTACGGCTGCTGCAGAATCAGCCCGGGAACCATAAACGTAATGAAACATGCCATTGGAGAATAAACCATTTAACCCTATCACCCCCCAAAATGCATATTTTAAAAAAAAATTTTTTTTTTTTAAGGCCCTCTCCCTTTTCCTCGGCGCAGAACTTTTGTCAATCTGCCTGCCTAAACAATAAGATACAGATAGTGAGAGATGCGTTACTGCGCACTGCTCTCGGTTTGCGTCTGCCAGCCAGCCCACCACTTCCTTTAGCTCAGTGAAGCTAAAGGAAGTTTGTGAAACCCTGAGAGAACCATGGAAGTGTTACATGAATAATGTATTTAAATGTTCCAATGTCTACTAAAATCAGCACTTTTATAAATCAAAACAAAAACTGACACACTAGACACAGTACTTAAAGGGACTCTCCAGTGCAAGGAAAACATATCGGTTTTCCTGGCACTGCAGGATCCTGCAGTGCCACTGTCACTCCCACCCACCATTCCATGTTGCTGAAGGGGTTACAACCCCTTCAGTAACTTACCTGAATCCATCACCGATGTCCCTCGGCGTTGGGTCAGGCTCGGCCGGCAGTGGTTTAATGCTTTCCAATGGGGATTCCAGCAATGCTGGAGAACCTCACGCATAGCGTGAGGACATCCAGTGTAGTTAAAAACACTTTTAGGGTTTTAAGAACCCGGAAGTCCCTCTAGTGGCTGATAGGCAGCCACTAGAGGAGGACTTAACCCTGCAAGGTAATTATTGTCGTTTATAAACACTGCAATAATTACACATGCAGGGTTAAAGGTTATGTGAGTTGGCACTCAGATCACTCCAAAGGGCAGAAGTGGTCTGGGTGCATGGAGTGTCCCTTTAAGCAAGCTAAAGTTATTTGTGTCTGCAGTTCTCGTTTAAAATAGTGAATGCTGGTTTTGTGGGGTATTTTTTTACTGTGCAAGTCCATGCACTTTCCTGCTATGGCATTTCTTAGGTTAATATAAGCCTACGGGCAGGAAAATATTACTTGAAGGGAAACTGTTTTAGACCAGCAGGAATCCTGTTCATTCCAGTTTTGTACCAATCTAATGAGCATTCATGTGAGTAGTTTGTTTTTTGTAATATGACACTTGCTCCTTTTTTGTTATTTCTATGTAAAGCTTCTGATCATCCCATGTAGCGTGTGTGTGATTGATTTATTTTATATATGTTTATTATTATTATTATTATTATTGTCATTTATATAGTGCCAACCGATTCCGTAGTGCTTTACAACATTTTTTGAGGTAGATTTAACTATAAATAGGACAATAACAAGAAAACTTTACAGGAACAATAGGTTGAAGAGGGCCCTGCTCAAACAATCTTACAGTCTATAGGAGGTGGGGTATAAAACACATTAGGGCAGTCAAATTAGGTGGGAGTGAAGAGAGCTGGAGGAGAGAGTAGAGTGCTGCCCTTTAGGAGAGAGCAAGAAACAGGTATGTAAGGTAGAGGTTACTCTGGGAGGCCATATGCTTTCCCAAAGAAATGGGTTTTAAGGCACTTTTTAAACGATTGAAGACTAGGGGAGAGTCTGATGGCGGTAGGCAGGCTATTCCATAGGAAGGGAGCCGCCTGCGATAAGTCCTGCAAGCGCGAGTTGGCCGTACGGGTGCGAGCAGCGGACAGAAGGTGGTCATGCTCGGAGCGGAGAGACCGAGAAGGGGCATATCTGTGAGGAGATCTAATAGGGGCTAAGATTATTCAGTGCTTTGTAGGTATGGGTTAGCACTTTGAATTGACTCCTATAGTATACCGGAAGCCAATGTAAGGACTGACAGGGGTGAGGTGTGAGAGGACAGAATAGAGAGGAAAATCAGTCTGGCGGCAGCATTCATAACAGACTGTAGCGGGGCAATACGGCTATTGCGAAGACCAATTAGGCGAGAGTTACAATAGTCCATGCAAGAGATTACTAGAGCATGGACAAGCTCTTTAGTAGCATCTTGTGTAAGAAAGGGGGGGATGCGGGCGATGTTTTTGAGTTGAAATTGGCATGATTTGACAAGACAGGATGTGAGGCTCAAAGGTGAGGCCAGAATCAAAAGTAACATCAAGACAACGTGCTTGTAAGGATGGGTTGATATGGATGCCAACAATTTAAAGGGAGAGTTTTGCTTCTGCGTAAGCCACAGTGCGTGCAGTTATTTATACTTTGGAACAGTCTATAGGAATATAAGTTTGGGTGATATCTATGTCCTTTCAACAATTATAGAACGTTAAGGATGTTTTAAAAGGGCTTATTTAACTTTCTGCCAAATCTCTAGGGTATTATAGGTGGTAATAGCAGGGGGTTTATGAGAAACCTTCTGAAAAACATTAGTTAATTTTTCTGTAGTAAATGTTGCTGTTTTAAAAGTCTGCCCTAAACTAAATTTTTTGAGTTTATATTCTAGCGTTAACATTATTTAAAGTACAATAATATTTTGAGGAGACAGTCCAAGCAAGCACCAAGGTCAAAATCGGTTGACAGTACAGAGAAACGGCAAACTAACATTACAACCAAGATATTCTCGTTTTATCTTTTGCTTTTTTGAGGCAATAGAATAAAAATAAGGGAAAAGCAAAAGGGGTGGGGAGCTAGAGATGTCAATCAATCTAGTGTAAAAGACCAAAGGAATACTAGAAAACAGTGCCAAGACAAAACAAGCCTATTCCCACAATCCTCATGCTTTATAAAAATTAGTGTGAAGTGTGCTAGAGTTAATTTGTCCATCGGCATTTTCTAACTTGTTAGAACTTTGTGTTCTCAAGACCCGATATCTCTTAGGAAGGCAGGGCATTGAGAATGTATTAAGAGGTGTTAATTATGTGAAGAAAAAAAAGAGGAACAAGTTCTGCACATATTGAAGCAGTAGTAATCGAACAGAAAGCTGGGAAGACCCAAGCCATTTAAGTGGAGTAAAAGTGGGTGGGCCTGTGAGGCACATTGCATCACTAGCACTGCTCAAAGGTGATGGATTCACCTGGAAAGTGGAACGCTCTGCCCAATTAATTGGCATATCAGCCTGGTGTGAGTTCACGTCAGGTGTCTCCCAATTAAGGAAGCCAGCCCACCAAGGCTTACATCATACAGGAAGCACTGTCCTAGTTCCCTGGACATAGTGCAAGAGTATTTAATTATGTGCCTGATCTTTGTGTATAGATCCCTGGTGTCCTGCTTTTGGGGATGAAATTATGACAGCAGTACAGTACTCTGGAAACGAGGAATGTTGGGAGGCATGAGTGGGTTAGTAAGAGCCTGGAACTAATATAGCAACTCGGGTAAACAATTTTAATACAATTAAAGTTTGATACACTTGTCATTTTTCTCATGGTTTGGAAGTGTTGACCACCATGTGAATGCCCAGGCAGGGCCTTTTTCCTTTTTAAATTAATTTTAATACTACCTTATACTAAGAATACTTTTGTGTTTAACCAGATATGGGTCATTTACCTTGTTGCAAGGGGTCTGTGTAATTATTAACCAATTAATTGTACCATATGCCAAAATAAATTAAAGTGTGCATACTATGATTTCCTCTCATT